TTTTGTGGGTATTTGTGTTGATTTAATAAATTATGTGTGTTAGTTTGAATGGGTAATTATAGGTATTTATAAGTTCAAATGAGGTATGGACCATGAAATTATGTTTTTCTATATCCGAAACTAAAATCTAAAGCCAAAATTATGAACGTTTGAAGTTTCTCTTATTTACAACTACACTAGTCTCTGGTAAAATGGTCATGCTTTACTTTAAATATTAAATGATACAAAATTGGTGGCATTTGAAAGAAAACTCATTGACCTACAATTTTCATATGTCATGGCTCACTTAATTCATTTCGTACTAAAAGATATGGTAGTATACAATGTTTGCCTTCAAGAGAGGCACATATTGATTGCATGTAGTTTTTTGACCAAAATTTTTTGTGGGTGTTTGTGATGATGTAATAAATTATGTGAGTTAGTTCGAATGGGTAATTATAGGTATTTATAAGTTCAAATGAGGTAAGATAAATACCTATACCAAACCCCCCGGACGCAATCCATATATTTACTTCTTCATATGCCTATTCAAATTATTATATCCCAAAACTTTTTCACTACACCCTTTGATCGTGATAGGTAGAATCAAGTATCAACTAATACTGAATGGTGAACCCAAATGATACATATGCAACAATTGTTCGCTTTTGTTGATTATTTTTCTTTTTTTATATAATTTTTAATGATTTTAAGTTTTTTTTCTTTTTGCAGTATTTGTTCAGCGTATTGTGGCTGTCTTTTAATTCTGAATAAAAAAAAAAAAAATTAAATATTTGATAAATGATACATATGCAACAATTCTTTTAAACACCTATTTTACCAATCTTCTTAATGAATTTTTATTGTAATAAAAATTAAACGTTATATGATTATCTTTCTTATATATCTTTATCCATTCAATGTATTATCCGAAATTGATACAGATTTTATGAAAATATCATTCAGCTGTAAGCATCATATTGTACTAAAATATCGCATATAATTATATAAGTTTTTTTAAAAATATCATATAATTGGTATATGACATTTAGAAAAATTCAAAGATAAAAATTAAAAATTTGAATAACATGCCTACAATTTGATATTCAAGTGATTAAAACTTTTTAGTTTTATGCTTAACATTATCATGATCATACGACTTTTCTTAGTTATATTTTGTTTTAATGCAACGATTAAATTTTCTTATATCTTTATTATTCTAACAAGAGGATAATATGAATAGGTTATGTATGATGTTGAATAACTTTGAATAACATTCTCTCAAATAAAATTTATTATATTATCTTATGATAAGTAAAAATTAGAAATTGTTAATAAATGGGAAAATGCATAAGTATCCCCCAGCTTATGCCCTTTTTGATCTGCCCAGGGGAGCTGGTTTTTCGTATTCAGGACAGTAATCCTGTAAAAGACACCAATCACAAGAATTAAAAACTCGAGCCTTCCCAAGGGCCAGGGGCGGCTCTAATAAATCGGTGGCCTAAAGCAAAATCCGAATGGAGGCCTTAAATTCGAATATATATTTTTTATGAAGTTTATTATAGCCAATTATTTTAATCTTTCTTGAGACATAGTACTCATAATTTGTCAAACTTCTATTACTTCCTTGCTCTTTTATGAAAAAATTATATTTTCTACAAATTATACGCGATATTTAAAAAAAATAATATGTATAACCTATTGTATTTTTAAAAAATGAGGCCCCTCAAATTTTGGGGCCTAAGGCAGTTGCTTTTTTTTCAAAGCTGTAGAGCCGCCACCCGGCCACTCATCATTTTTCTCACGAAAAGTTAAGAGGCTACTACTTACCAGATCAGCATGCATTTTCTTGACAAATGTTTTGAAGGTTCTGAAGTTCCTACTTTGAAGGAGTTTTTCAGATAATCGAAGGTAAGTCAGCCCAGCCATTTTTAGTTTTGGTGGACCATTTTTGTTGATACCATTTGGTCTAGCGTTGAGAAGGATTTGGTTGTAGGCATAGCCGTCATATCTTGCAAGTGCATTCTCACCTGCTACATCAATGTTCTCTTTCCAGCCAACACTCAAAACCTGTACATAATCAGGTAAAGTCTTGATTAATAGCAGTCCATAGCTAGTTGTTCGCAAAAAAATGTTAGTCTTTCCTCTGTAAAATTTGGTCTCACAGAACTGGTACTCCCTCCGTCCCAGTTTAAGTGGTCTTACTTTCAATTTTGATCTGTCCCAAAACGAGTGTTTCTTTCTATATTTAGTAAGCTTTCCAATTCCAACGTTCTACATGACAAGATTAAGACCGCGAGATTTAAAGGACTATACACATGCATCTTTAATTTTAGACCACAAGATTCAAAGTACATATCCCCTTTCATAAACTTTAGGCCACTTAAATTGAGACGGAGGGAGTATAAGGTTAAGTCACAGTTTGTCCAAGATGTACACTGGATGCTAAAATGGTATAAAACATGCAACTCTCTTTTCTAACCTGTTGAACTAGCTCTTGAGGGCCAGACTTAGCATAAGCTGGATGTTCTGAATTCCTCATCTCAAGGCAAGTGAAATGGAAGGTACCATAGTGCCTCGATAACATCCTTGCTATTGATCTATAACCATCTCAATCATCCAAATTATAAAATCCTGCTGTTAGCTCTGCAACAAGGCTGGCATCTTTGTACCACCAGTGAATTCCAGCTACCTGCTTGAGCAAAATTGACAGAAGGGAAACTTCTGTTAGCTTGTACTGTCAAAACTCGAAAGTGATCAATAATGCAAAGACTAAAGAATTTCCAGGTGGATGAAGACTTGCTTTAACTGATAGCTTCACTTTGTATCCCAGGGAAGCTTTGTTTGCTTCATCAAGGATCTGATCTCCGAGAAGCAGTAGCTTGCTAGAGTACCTATAATTACCCATCCGACTTATAAATACCTATAATTACCCTTTCGAACTAACACACATAATTTATTAAATCATCAAAAACACCCACAAAAAAATTTGGTCAAAAAACTGCCTGCAATCAATGTGTGCCTCTCTTGAAAGCACACAATGTATACTACTATATCTTTTAGTACGTAATGAATTAGGTGAGCCACGACATATGAAAATTGTAGGTCAATAAGTTTTCTTTCAAATTCCACTAATTTTGTATCATTTATTGTTTAAACTAAAGCATTATGACCATTTTACCAGAGACTAGTGTAGTTGTAAATAAGAGAAACTTCGAACATTCATAATTTTGGCTTTGGATATTAGTATTGGGTATAGAAAAACTCTATCTCACGGTCCATACCTCATTTGAACTTATAAATACCTATAATTACCCATTCGAACTAACACACATAATTTATTAAATCATCACAAACACCCACAAAAAATTTTGGTGAAAAAACTACATGCAATCAATGTGTGACTCTCTTGAAGGCAAACAATGTATACTACAATATCTTTTAGTACATAATGAATTAGGTGAGCCATGGCAAATGAAAATTGTAGGTCAATGAGTTTTCTTTCAAATGCCACCAATTTTGTATCATTTAATATTTAAAGTAAAGCATGACCATTTTACCAGAGACTAGTGTAGTTGTAAATAAGAGAAACTTCGAACGTTTATAATTTTGGCTTTAAATGTTTCGGCAATAAAAAAACTCTATTTCATGGTCCGTACCTCATTTGAACTTATAAATACCTATAATTACCCATTCGAACTAACACACATAATTTATTAAATCATCACAAAAACCCACAAAAAATGTTGGTCAAAAAACTATATGCAAACAATGTGTGCCTCTCTTGAAGGCAAACAATATATACTACCATATCTTTTAGTGCGTAATAACTTAAGTGAGCCATGACATATGAAAATTGAAGGTCAATGAGTTTTCTTTCAAATGCCACCAATTTTGTATCATTTAATATTTAAAGTAAAGCATGACCATTTTACCAGAGACTAGTGTAGTTGTAAATAAAAGAAACTTAGAACATTCATAATTTTGGCGTTAGATGTTAGTTTTGGCTATAGAAAAATTATATTTCACGGTCCATACCTCATTTGAACTTATAAATATCTATAATTAACCATTCATACTAAAACACAGAATTTATTAAATCATCACAAACACCCATAAACAATTTTGGTAAAAAAACTACATGCAATCAATGTGTGCCTCTCTTGAAGGCAAACAATGTATACTATCATATATTCTAATACGTAATGAATTAGGTGAGCCATGACAATGAAAATTATAGGTAGATGAGTTTTCTTTCAAATGCCACAAATTTTGTATCATATAATGTTTCAAGTAAAGCATTATGACCATTTTACCATAGACTACTGTAGTTGTAAATAAGAGAAACTTCAAATGTTCATAATTTTGGCTTTAATAATTGTTCCTTTAGGTTATATCAAAACTCTATTTCACGGTCGATACCTCATTTGAACTTATAAATACCTATAATTACCCATTCGAACTAACAAACATAATTTATTAAATCATCACAAAAACCCACAAAAAATGTTGGTCAAAAAACTATATGCAAACAATGTGTGCCTCTCTTGAAGGCAAAAAAAGTGTACTACATGTCTTTTAGTACATTATGAATTAGGTGAAAACAATGTATACTACCATATCTTTTAGTACGTAATGAATTAGGTGTGCCATGACATATGAAAATTATAGGTCAATGAGTTTTCTTTCAAATACCACAAATTTTGTATCATTTAATGTTTAAAGTAAATCATTATGACCATTTTACCATAGACTAGTGTAGTTGTAAATAAGAGAAACTTTGAACATTCATAATTTTGAACTTAGATGTTAGTTTCGGCTATAGAAAAACTCTATTTCACGGTCCATCCCTCATTTAAACTTATAAATACCTATAATTACCCATTCGATCTAACACACATAATTTATTAAATCATCACAAACAACCACAAAAAAATTTATTCTAAAAACTACTTGCAATCAATGTGTGCCTCTTTTGAAGGCAAACAATGTATACTACCATATATTTTAGTAAGTAATGAATTAGGTGAGCAATGACATATGAAAATTATAGGTCAATGAGTTTTCTATCAAATTACACTAATTTTGTATCATTTATTGTTTAAACTAAAGTATTATGACCATTTTACAAGAGACTAGTGTAGTTGTAAATAAGAGAAACTTCGAACGTTTATAATTTTAGCTTTAGCTGTTAGTTTCGGGTATAGAAAAACTCTCTTTAATGGTCCATACCTCATTTGAACTTATAAATGCCTATAATTACCCATTCCAACTAACACACATAATATATTAAATCATCACAAATACTTGATTCTACCTATCACGATCAAAGGGTGTAGTGAAAAAGTTTTGGGATAGAATAATTTGAATAGGCATATGAAGAAGTAAATATATGGATTGCGTCCGGGGGGTTTGGTATAGGTATTTATCTTACCTCATTTGAACTTATAAATACCTATAATTACTCATTCAAACTAAAACACATGATTTATTAAATCATCACAAACACCCATAAACAATTTTGGTGAAAAACTACATGCAATAAATATATGCCTCTCTTGAAGGCAAACAATACTACCATATCTTTTAGTACGTAATGAATTAGGAGAGCCATGACATATGAAAATTATAGGTCAATGAGTTTTATATCAAATCCCACCAATTTTGTACCATTTAATGTTTAAAGTAAAGCATTATGACCAGTTTACCATGGACTAGTGTAATTTTAAATAAGAGAAACATCAAACGTTCATAATTTTGGCTTTAGATGTTAGTTTCGGCTATGGAAAAACTCTATTTTATGGTCCATGCCTCGTTTAAACTTATAAATACCTATAATTACCCATTCGATCTAACACACATAATTTATTAAATCATCACAAACACCACAAAAAATTTTGGTAAAAAAACTACAAGCAATCAATGTTTGCCTCTCTTGAAGGCAAACAGTGTATACTACCATATCTTTTGGTACGTAATGAATTAGGTGAGCCATGACATTTGAAAAATATAGGTGAATGAGTTTCTTTCAAATGCCACAAATTTTGTATCATTTAATGTTTAAAGAAAAAGCATTATGACCATTTTACCAGAGACTAGTGTAGTTGTAAATAAGAGAAACTTCGAACGATATTAATTTTGGCTTTAGATGTTAGTTTTTCCTACAGAAAAATTCTATTTCACGGTCCATACCTAATTTGACCTTATAAATACCTATAATTACTCATTCGAACTAAAATACATAATTTATTAAATCATCACAAACACCCATAAAACAATTTTGGTAAAAAAACTACATGCAATCAATGTGTGCCTCTCTTGAAGGCAAACAATATATACTACGATATCTTTTAGTACATAATGAATTAGGTTAGCAATGGCATATGAAAACTGTAGGTCAATGTGTTTTCTTTCAAATGCCACCAATTTTGTATCATTTAATGTTTAATGTATAGCATTATGACAATTTTACTAGAGACTAGTGTAGTTGTAAATAAGAGAAACTTCGAACGTTCATAATTTTGGCTTTAGATGTTAGTTTCGGCTATAGAAAAAGTCTATTTCACGGTCCATGCCTCATTTGAAATTATAATTACCTATAATTACCCATTCGAACTAACACACACAATTTATTAAATCATCACAAATACCCACAAAAAATTTTGGTCAAACAACTACGTGCAATCAATGTTTGCCTCTCTTGAAGGCAAACAATGTATACTACCATATCTTTTGGTACGTACTGAATTAGGTGAGCATGACTTATGAAAATTATAGGTCAATGAGTTTTCCTTCAAATGCCACAAATTTTGTATCATTTAGTAAAGCATTATGACCATTTTACTTGAGACTAGTGTAGTTGTAAATAAGAGAAACTTCGAACGTTCATAATTTTGGCTTTAGATGTTAGTTTTGGCTATAGAAAAACTCTATTTCACGGTTCATACATAATTTGCACTTATAAATACCTATAATTATTCATTCGAACTAAAATACATAATTTATTAAATCATCACAAACACCCATAAACAATTTTGGTAAAAAAACTACATGCAATCAATGTGTGCCACTCTTGATGGAAAATAATATATACTACCATATCTTTTAGTACGTAATGAATTAGGTGAGCAATGACATATGAATATTGTAGGTCAATGTGTTTTGTTTCAAATACCATCAATTTTTTATCATTTAATGTTTAAAGTAAAGCATTATGACCATTTTACGAGTGACTAGTGTAGTCGTAAATAAGAGAAACTTCGAACGTTCATAATTTTGGCTTTAGATGTTAGTTTTGGCTATAGAAAAACTCTATTTCACGGTTCATACATAATTTGCACTTATAAATACCTATAATTATTCATTCGAACTAAAATACATAATTTATTAAATCATCACAAACACCCACAAAAATTGTTGGTCAAAAAATTATATGCAATCAATTTGTGCCTCTTTTGTAGACAAACAATGTATACTACCATATCTTTCAGTACGTAATGAATTAGGTGAGCCATGACAT